TGAGCTTGTCACAACCCATGCATCAAATTTTGGCTTTTAGGAAACTTAGAAGGTAATAATTTTGCTGCTTGTAATTTGAGACTGCTTCCACATCCTATGACGCAAGTAAAGCTATTAGGGTTTTGACACATTTAGATATCGATGGCTAACTTTGTCTTCTTTGCCCCGCCCCCGCAGAGCTGTCTATCCAACCACAGTTGAACTCCATTCTCATTCCTCCCCATGCTCGCTCGCAGACAACACCTGCCTCACACGGTACTGATCCCACATACAGACCAAATGCCTTTGATTTACCCTTTCTGTCAGTCCGTATGGATTTGTGAATCCACATGTCCTGCAGTATTTTTATTAACTCCATAATATGTATGTGTCTCTTGCAGAAGGCAGCGGTTCAGACGGTCCAGCCCAGTCTAGCTCAGCACCGGGACCCCTGAGCAACAACACCTAAATGTTACCTTGGCATTACTGTGACGTCGTCAGCCCTCTCTCCTCATCCCTTCTTTCTCATTCCTCTCTCCTTCCCAAAAGCAGCTCCAAACAGTCTCTCTTGCACACGCTCTCTCACAAACACACACTTGTCACCTCGTGTTATGTGTGGTCATGTTCTCCCATGATGGAAGAAGTGTGATGCCCAGATTAATGACATCAATCATCACAGGAGGAGATAATGAGGTCGATTCAGATTTATTATGATGATTGTCATGTTTAGGTTTAAAGACTGTGAAGGGCCGCTAAGGGCACACGTGCCCCCTAGTGGCAGGAAGAGCACCGCACAGTTACTGCTCCCTGCCTCTGGTACCATCCATTTGACTTTTAAACAATGATATGAGATATCAAGCTCATTTAAATGTAATTTTGCTCTTAAAGTAATACATTTTAGCTTTCTTTGGGAGTTCTTGCACAAAAGCAAGGACTGCAACGTGTTTTATGAAGCAGCGAGCGTGAGATGTCAGTGTTTGTGTGTCAGGAGACGAAAATGGGTGTCTTAATATGTGCAAATGTCAATTTTAAGCAATCATTGCACACTCTTTTGTGTTTTAATTTCTTTTAAGGAGAATATTTGGATAAGTTGAGACAGGGTTTATCTGGTTTCATTATAAAAACGTGCTCACTTTAGTTTGTTTTTGTGCATGCACATGCACACACACACACACACACACACATATAACTGGTAGGTCAATCCCATCAATAGCTGTGTTAGCTGTTCTGATTGATTACAGTTGTGCATTGCGGAGTGTACACTGTGTGTGTGTGTGTGTGTTTATATACATCGGCATGCCCGTTAAATGTGGATTTAGCAGATGTTCATCCAAAAGACACATTGATACATGAGCCCACACACACACACACACCATGAACACTTAGCAAACGAGACTGGAGCTGGTTGTCTTTCCCTTCTTCCATCCTTCCTATCTCCTCTCTCATTGCTAATATGTAAATGCCATGTACCTTTTATTTTGTTATTTTTGTTATTGTTATTCTGTTGTCCTTGTAATTAGATTTTTCTCCTAGTGGAGCAGTGCTGGTATGAGCGAAAACCAGCCTTTCGCGGTCTCTCCTATCCCTTCATCATACAACTGTATATAACATTTCATCCAGCCTCTCCCTGCATCCGGGGAGAAAGACGAATCTGAACAAAATGTTGTTTTTACCTGATCTCTCTCAGTCTCTTTCTCTTACTCTCTCTCCTCGTCCGCCCGCCTGCCTGCCCTTCCCCCTCCTCATCAGTGTTAATTCTGATCCTTTTATTTATTGTATTGCTGTCTGATTCTGTTTTTAACAAACTGATGGGGGAGGGGTTTGTGTGTGCAATGTCATTTGGTGTAACGTTCATATCTCAACTCTGGAATATTGTCTGATGGATTGTTCTGGAAAGGGCAGGTACACACTACCACACACAGGCTGCTCGGCCCATCAGTCAAAAGATGAACGGTTAAAGGGAGAGAGAGGGAGAGATAAACAATGTTTTTGTTTGTTGGTATAAATAATAAACTCATTATTAAAATGATAAAATGTCTTTGTGGGTTAAATTATGTATTTACCGTTGATTTTTTAAATTAAAGGCCATAAAAAGTCTTCAAAATAGCACAGGAAATGGATTAATAAATTGTGGAGGTTTTGAATTTAATGGAAAGATATTTAAAAGGCCTGAAAACACCATTTGTACCAAATGTATACCGCCATTCAAAACTGAAAATAGGTTTGAAAGAAATTTAATACTTTTATTCAGCAAGGATGCATTTAACAATATTACTGTATTTAACCATATATTTAAAAAAAATTCTCAAAATCATTTTAGTAATTGCCATTAATACTATTGTCTTCAATTTCATTATCTGAAACATGCAGATACCCTGCATTTGTTAAAAGGTGGGTGTAACTTTTGAATATTAGGTACAAAATACTACGTTGCAGAACATTCTGAATAAAAACAATATTTTTTAGGTGTTTGTTAAAGGGAGAGAATAACTAAAATTCTGTCAAGGGCAGATTAAGGTTGGAGACACCCAATGTTTTTGATCACCAGTGTCTGAATCTGAACATCCTTCAAAATTCAGTTGCTTTATTTTCCTCTTAACTCATAGCTTCAGCTGAGGGTCACAATTATGCCTTATTGCATTTGTATGAATGTAGGACATTTGCATTGCCTGACATTCAAAGAATAATGGCACCAGATGTTTGATTCGGAGTAGACTTTCAATGCAGCACAACTATGTGTTTAGACTGATCACAGTGCACTGAAAAGCCCCTGACAACAAAAGCCAATCAGGAGGTCTTGGAAGTCTCTGTTGTCCTCTATTCACACACTGACGAGGTAATAACGTTTGTAAATTAGCTCAGATTAGAGGGTGGAGATGAGATTAAATCATGAAAAAAAAAAAATGTTAATGTTGTTTGTGTTGGTTTGACCTTAAACTCATTATTTTCAGTCTGATCTCGCTGCATTCATTTTTCTTCAAGTCCACAAATGAAAATGTTCAATTTCTCTTTTCAAAAAGGTGTAACGCTACTGTCTTTTGTCCATCGCTTTCACATTATTAATTAATGCACCTTTTTTAGCAATATGGTGTGCAGTCATTACAACTGTATGACAAGCAATAGGCCTACCCCTTGTGGCCACTAGTTCATTCACTCTAGAAGAAATATAACCTTACTTTTTTCATTAGAGGAGACAGAGCTCAGCTCAAGTCCTTTGGCACAAGTTTGATTACTCTATAAGCCACTGAGCCGTCATACTCTGAATACTAATGGAGTGTTTGTTTCAGCAGACATGCGGTCACCTCTTCCTGTCATTTCTGTAGACTCATCACTCATTTCCTCGGAATTCTTCTGTCTAAAAGAATTGCAAAGCACCTTAACTTTTAGACTTACAGCTGATGAAAAAATAGATTTTGAACTGCTTTTATGTAAGCTAAATGGATTATACACTCCTACTATATGGCATATTAATGAAACATTGACTTGTCACTTGATATTTGACTAAAGGACTTTAAACATATTCCATCTAATATAGGCCTACAATTGTGATTGTCCTCCAATTAATAAACAAGTTTAATTTCTTTAACTTTAAAACAACGGCAACAGCTTTTCTGTTAGAACCTCCAAAACCTCTGTGGCTATAAACTTTTAATCTGATAAATGTAAAAGGGTTAATCATGATTATTAAACTGTTCATTTCAATCCTTTTTGTTTGATTTTTTAAACCATATACAAAATTCGTTTTTTAAACCATATATAAAATGACTACGATCTCACACCAGATGTCAAAAAATGTCAACTGACTGATTAAATAATAAGCTGTGCCTACAGTACAATTACATGTCTTTCTTGATTTTTGTTTCTAATGCCATTCAAAGCAGATCCATATAGTTGAATCTTGTTTATGAGCTGTATGATAAAACAAATAATACTATTGTAATCAATGTTATGATGTACTATATCATGCAACTCCGTTTGTATAAAAAAAACAAAGGTTGTTGACAGAGTTAGAGATGTCCAAAACATTCTGGAAAAGAGATGTAGGCTACAACATTTATTTTATAGGAATTAATTTTTGTTCAATGAATATAATGTACTTTATTTTTGTTCAGTGAATATGATTTTTTAAATAATTCCCAATATCCAATTAAAAACGTCAGTCATAGATTTTGATATTTTAAAGGACATTTCTCTAACTTTAATGTCTTTACAGATTTTTTTCAATTGCACAACAAGAACAGTAACACAACATACACATATAGAGGATCACAGTGTTTTCAATTATTATCAATTACATTCATAATAGCATCAAATGAACAAACAGAAGAAGAAAAACTACAGGGGATAACTTACAAGACATTTTCCATAAGAAAAGCATTCAAAAATTCTATACATCCTTTTTGCTTAGATCTTTTAAGGCTTCAATGTAATCCTTAAGTTAAATTTTAAATAATGTTTATTAATGTTTATAAATAGGTTTATTATTAGTCCATTTTTGTTTGTGTGTATGGTATTTCCCATACATAATTATTAAATTAATCACCAAATGTTGCTCCAAACTCTTATTTTTATACAACAAAAATATATCTTTACCATAGAACCGTGTCTTTAATTTTATACATTTAAATATTAGATATTCAATATCAATCCAAAACATCTTCTGGGTAAATACACAATCATAAAATAAGTGTTTTATGGAGTTACAAAAGATGCATGTAGTCTCTATGTCTCTAAAAAATGTTGCGACTACTTGTCTCACTGGGTAAATCAAATTAATAACTTTATATGTAACTTTAACTTTATTGGTTTTAATCTGATCATATAATTAATTCCAAAAAGGTTTGCATTGAGGCAATAATGTGGTTCTACATAATTTTTTATATAAAAGTTATTAAATGTATTATTTATAATTTACACACCATTAATACTTAACTGGTTAGTAATGTCTTTACTGACGTTAAACCGTAGATGACGTGTTTTTGCAAGCGCGCTTGACTTCAGTGGAATTCTATTGGCGGACTTGAAAAGTGCTGCGGACCAATTACGTCGCGTTTTGTTGAGACGTTCCTAACAACATTTCTGACAGATACGAAAGGAGAAGGCCGTAATCGGTGAGTTGTTTATTTTATCCTACGGTAGCAATGTTTTTTTGCGACTAATCCAAGGTTATCTACAGTTCCTGTCATTTAGTAGTACCTGTCGTCTCGGAGACTCGACTGGGGGAGACATTCGCCCTTTGCTAACGGGCGGATTCCGCCAAACTACCACCGAAGAAGCGCGTGCTGCCCTTCTTCGGCGCTTCTCTCTCGCCCGCGCTGTGTGTTCAATGTTTGAGCGCGACCAAGCACCCATAGCGGCTGCGCTTTGAACATATAACTATCAATAAACCAATGACTGTGGCTATGTAAATATCTTTCTCACATATTTACCGTTGTTCAGTAAAAGGAAGTTGGTGCATCCTAAATGCTAGCAGGCCAGCAGAGCCCGCTAATTGAGGCTGTTGGCTAACTGATGTTAGCTTTTTAGCCTGTTGGGTGCAGCAACTGATCGGCGCTGTGATCTTTCTGCTGTCTCTCTACATCCTCCAAGTTTAACTCATTTTTGGTGAAATAGAGCACCCCTTTGTAGCTTATTAACCGATTTAGGGCTTTGCTGCAGACATAGTTATTAGTGGATGATCATTATTACTAAAAATCTAGAGGTCTATCAGTATTGGTTGTTTTATGACAGAGGCATTTTTATAAGTGTCATATGATATGACCGAAATGCGAAACCGTTGTAAATAATTTTATGTCTGCGTTTTGACAGTAATGCCTAATGCATTAGTGAATTTAATTTGTGGGCAAAACTATAAAAACACAATGTGCATAATAAATAACAACAGTAATGTTTTAGCAGAGCTGGGTAGATTACTTGAAAATTGTAATCCGTTACTAATTCCAAATTACATGACAACAAGTGTAACGTAATCCATTACATCTTCCTCCACTTGTCCGAGGCCGGGTTGCGGGGGCAGTAGTCTGAGCAGAGCCCCCCAGACTTCCCTCTCCCTGCACACCTCCAGCTCCTCTGGGGCAACCCCAAGGCGTTCCCAGGCCAGCTGGGAGACATAGTCTCTCCAACGTGTCCTGGGTCTGCCCCGAGGCCTCCTCCCAGTGGGACATGCCCGGAACACCTCACCAGGGCGGCTCTACTCCGAGATCCTCCCGGGTGACTGAACTCCTCACCCTATCCCTAAGGGTGCGCCCAGCCACTCTGCACTCATTTCTGCCCCTTGTATCCGCGATCTCATTCTTTCAGTCATGATCCAGAGTTCGTGACCATAGTTGAGGCTAGGAATGTAGATCGACCGGTAAATTGAGAGCTTCGCCTTAAGACTCTCAGCTCGTTCTTTACCAAAACAGACCGGTACAATGACCGCATTACTGCGGACGCAGCACCAATCCGTCTGTCAACCTGCCGCTCCATTTTTCCCTCACTCGTGAACAAGACCCCGAGATACTTAAACTCCTCCACTTGAGGGAGCAACTCCCCCCCAACCTGGAGGGGGCAATCTACCTTTTTCCGACTGAGAACCATGGCTTCGGATTTGGAACTGCTGATTCTCATCCCCGCCGCTTCGCACTCGGCTGCAAACATCTCCAGCGCACGCTGCAAGTCTTGATTTGATGATGCCAGCAGGACCACATCATCCGCAAAAAGCAGAGATGATATCTTGCAGCCACCAAAACAGACACCCTCCGCTAGGGCTGTGTATTGGCAAGAATCTGGCGATACGATATGTATCGCGATACGATATGTTGCGATACTGTAAGCAAGGCGATATATTGGGATATTTCTTATTTTAGAAATAGAAGATATATTTTTAGGAAAGCTGTCATAAAGAACACCCCACCATATGCAAACCTTAGCAATAAATACCCTCCCTGCACACCTCCAGCTCCTCTGGGGCAACCCCAAGGCGTTCCCAGGCCAGCTGGGAGACATAGTCTCTCCAACGTGTCCTGGGTCTGCCCCGAGGCCTCCTCCCAGTGGGACATGCCCGGAACACCTCACCAGGGCGGCTCTACTCCGAGATCCTCCCGGGTGACTGAACTCCTCACCCTATCCCTAAGGGTGCGCCCAGCCACTCTGCACTCATTTCTGCCCCTTGTATCCGCGATCTCATTCTTTCAGTCATGATCCAGAGTTCGTGACCATAGTTGAGGCTAGGAATGTAGATCGACCGGTAAATTGAGAGCTTCGCCTTAAGACTCTCAGCTCGTTCTTTACCAAAACAGACCGGTACAATGACCGCATTCGATACTGTAAGCAAGGCGATATATTGGGATATTTCTTATTTTAGAAATAGAAGATATATTTTTAGGAAAGCTGTCATAAAGAACACCCAATAAATAAATAGAAATTATTTAACCAGAACACAGTGGGATCTGCATTTGTAATAATCAGTCCCTGTAACATTCAACGTTATTGAACCAGTTTTTGTGCATAACGACTCGGGGGAAAAATTAAAGTGCTTGCAGGATCCTTTAGTTAAATGTATAATATGTATTTTATAAAAAAGTCTCACTCTATTTTAATCTATTTTAAAATGTAATTTAAAATGCATCTGTGATCAAAACTGAATTTTCAGCATCATTACTCCAGTCTTCAGTGTCACATGATCCTTCAGAAATAATTCTAATATAATTTGCTGCTCAAGAAACATTTATTATTATTGTTGCTTCATATTTGTGTGGAAACCGTAATGAATTTTTCAGAATTATTTTATATATAGTAACAGTGTTATGTAATGTAATAATGTGGCAATGGTTTCTTAAGATCTACGTATGCGTCTGATGCTTTTGGGAAACGCAGCCCTATTTGAACAAGCACTGTGAACCATGCGTCAGCAGCGAACGCTGTCTGTGATTGATTGGTTCTGTCTTTCAGCATTTGCGTGTGTTGCGATGAGCAGGAGAAATAGTTCTATCCAACACAATTATTCGCTAATATAGTCTATTTGTCCACTTAGAAGCTTATTTATGCCCAGAATTTCTTGATAAATAAATCAAATTAATAGTTAAAAAATGCACAATGAATCGATATTTTTATGTGAGGATCGATCCTTTCGATACAGCATCAGTATCGAAAGTATCGATACTTAAGGATCGATCCGCCCATCCCTACCTCTGGCTCTTAAATGTTTAAACTGGCAAAGCTTAAACGAGTTTAGCTTAAACATAGATATCAACGTGCTCTGTTCAGGTCTCACCTGAGCGCGCGCCCTATCAGCACCCAGGTGATGGAATAAATGCTAATATTCCAGCATACAGCATTCGCATTAAACAAGAGTGATTTTTTTTTTCATCGCTGCTGTTGTAATGTATTGGGAAGCCAGAATGCGCATCCATCAACAGAAACATACATTAGCCTAACCCTGTTTGTTTTACGTGTTATTTATAGCAAACCATATTACAGATACATTGTCAGATTTAAAGTCCCCATGAAATCAAAGTGAAAGTTAGTATCAATATGTTAGTCTTAAGGTTATATATAAGGCAGTGTGCTCCAAAACAGTGACAAAATTCGCATTTAGAAGATATAAACATTCAAAGCTTGCAGTTCGTCACTTCCGCCAAAACGGCTCAACGATTTTGTTGACGTCACATCGTACTTCAGCTTCTCGTCAAACTTTCTGTCCAATCAAATGCTCTCTAGAATTCGAAGCTCCTGCCCCCTACACTATAAAATAGATGCTGAAGCCGCGGCTAAAATTGGTCACTTGTCCACAGAATTAGTATTTTCTGTACAGTGAATGGCACGTAGTGCACTATATAGGGGACAGGGAACGATTCAAACAGTGTAAATATGCTTTCCATTGAGGAAAAAAAGAAGTCTGGTTTCGCGCTGTGTCACGCTAACCACCGCACTGCACACACACACCCTGCTCCGGTCTAGAGACGATAGCACGGAGCGGATCACATGCGCGAGTCGGTGCAGACCACAAAATGTATCGGAGCTATTTGAATTCTACACAGAATGCTATATTTTATAGCAATATGGATGAGATTGTGCCTGGCATACCCTGTCAAATACGGCTTTATGGAGCTCAACAGCTCTGAACGGCTCTAGCCCAAGCTGTGATATAAACGAACGCTATTGGCTATTTTAAAAAGGGGCGGGGCTGCTTGATATGTCCCGCCCTGTCTTCCTGTTTCAGTTAAAATGACGTCAACACACAGAGTAACGCTGCGTGTTTCTAAGCATTTCAGGGGACCTTTAAGTTGAACCGTGGTCCTAGCACGTGCCGAACCGTGTGTGAAGAACCGTACGGTTCGATTTTTTTCTGCGAACCGTTCCACCCCTAACAATTAGAGAATAGACTGTACAGAAATTGAAATCTACATGCTAATACATTCTCAGTCACGCAATGCTGATGTTGTTAACATTAATAATTTGAGAATAAAGTATAACAATAATAATAATTTGCATGGTTTGATGTGATATGAGCTAACTGATCTTTAGATTAAATCACCATTGGTAGCGCGATTTATTGTAATGCTTTTTGTTATTCACTTGTTCAGATGACAATAGCCGGTGAAAATTCTTATTTGGGTCATATATTCCAAGACGTAGGCTAGAATCTGTGATTATGAAGTACAGTGAATATCCACACCTGTGCGGTGACTGACTGCCACACATACACCTCAATACATTAGATTCAGCCGCGCCGGAGCACAACCCAAGCAAGGAAGATAATTCCGCAAAAATCTGCAATTGCAGGTTTTCAAACAGAGATGGCGATAAAGAGGCAAAACTTACGGACTGCAGCTTTAAATATACTTTTTAAAACAATATTATTTAAAAATAATATAAATAACAACAGTAATAATGTTTTAGTTTAAAATACTGTCATGCATTTCTGTTACAATTTAAGGATGATTGGATGTAAAAAGTATATTATTTTTATATACATAATACAGTGTAACACAATAATTAATAAGTATAATTAAATAATTATAAAATTAATTTACATGTGACCTGTGATTTACATGTGATCTGTTTAGAGAGCTACCCGATGCATTTTTCAATATTGTTGACCTGAAATTGAAGAACCAATAACTTCTTATGTAGAAAAGTGTGAATATTGGTGACAAACATTGGTCAAACGGATAATCTGTAAGTATTACTGAAGAAATAAGCCATGTGAACCATGTTATATACTGACATAAAATATTTCCTTCTAGTAAAAGGAGGAATCATTTCATATCCAGATTTTGTTGTGTTTACACGCATTTATGTGCAGCTTTGCTTCTGTTTAACATTAAATTGCATGTTTATGATTGCCAGGATGAACTTGACTGACTCATATTTAAGCTGGTTCTGTGACATTTCAGCTGTAATTATTAGTTATTTTGTGCCGTCTTGATAAATTATGCGGAGTGAAACTAATGAGTGTGGCTTTGTTTTGCCACAGTTTGCACGTCATGTAAAACTCAGCCCCCTCGTGTTAACACTGATAACATGCTGTAAGGACATTTCACTTGCCATCTGCCATGGAATATCATACTCTACCATCTCTCTTCCTTAAAACGTTTCATCCATCCTTTTCCTGTCTGTCACTTCATGGAGGAGTGGCATACAGCCCTAATCAGACCCAAAAGATCCAATCTCATCAGTGCTACAGTTTCACAGTTTTCCTTTTCATCCGTGTTTTTTAGACAACATTGTTTTCTAAATAGTTGTCATTAAAGACTGTTTTTGACAGTCTTCATTTATTTATTTTCAAAGTTTGCTTATTTATTTTTACCTACTTTTTTTTTACTGCCATTTTTGATAAGTTAAATGCATAATTGCTGAATAAGAGGGTCAGTCTCTTTAAAAAAAAAAAACTATAATAATAAAAGTACCTTACCAACCACAAACCTTTGAATGATACTAGTGTAGGTCAAAAACCTTTAATCTTTGTTTAAAAAAAAAAAAAACTAATGAATGAAGACTTTCACAAAATGATCACAATTATTTACAATACATTAATGTTGTCTAAAAAACGATGCATCTAACGGTCACCTTTATCTCTTATTGTTAAATAAATGTTAAGTGCTAAAACATTTTTAATGTCTTCATTTGAAAGGTCCAAGGAGTGCGAGTAGGATTGCTGCAATTTTTTTTTTAGTTGTACATTCTCTGTTGCATTAAAAAAGGGCACTGTTATTGGAGTCAAACCTTTAAACCTTTAACATTTTACCTTTAATCAAATGTTTTCATCACTTGTCTTTATATAAACATGTATTATTTTTTAATTAAACATATTCTTGTGTGTTTCCAGCAGCCATGGAGTCCTCTTCAGTGTACATGTGCTTTCCCTGTTATCAGGAGTTTCCTACACTAGAGGAAGTGCTTGCACATCAGATGACCTGCACTGCAGAGAATCCACAACTTCTGCCCAATGAGACGCCTATCGAGGCTGCAGCTGCCGCCGCTGGTCTGGCACAGGTATTGACACATATCTACTATCATAGGGCGTATTCACACCTGTCTTGTTTCGTTCCCCCCCTTGGTGTGATCTTTTGGGCAGGTGTGAATACAGCAGTCGCACTCAGGTGCGGACCAAACAACCGCACCAAGACCCAGCTGAAGAGGTGGTCTCGGTCCGGTTCAAAACGAACTCTGGTACACTTGAGAATTTCTGTCCAATGAATGGATGACCTTATCACACGTGTGGTTTTGTTTATAATTTCTGGTTCACTTGCAAAAAGGGCAGTGTGAAAGCGAACCACACCAAACAAAAAAAAAATCAATGGTAAATGTATTTGGTCCGGACCAAAGCAAGTGAACTAGCGGACTTTCCTGGTGTGAATACACCTATACACAGTTCACCCCTAAACTAATTCAAAACTTTATCTTTCTGATAAAACTCACAGGAAATCACCCTTTTCCTAAGTCACATGAGATGGGTTTGTCAAATTCCTTTTCTTAAAAAAAAAAAGGTTTTCTTTGTGGTATTACTTAGCATTATCTCTAAATGGGGTGCATTAACATGCGGCTCCTGAAAGCCTGTGAAAATGTAATCTATTTTATTCCCTTAATACCCCTTGAACTCGTAACTATAATTATCCAAAACAGACTAGAAAATTCGAAGAGCAGCTTCCAGTAATCCTGAATAGTGAGCTGAAATCTAAAAGGATAATTTTGTAAGCGGATGTTTTTTTTTTTTTGCGCAACTCCTAATTTGTCTCTTCACTACAGGGGGGAAATGAGGCACTTGAGATTCTGTCTTTTACACTCTAATGTTGATGCACTTTTACTTTAGTTGTTATAAAAACAGTCAAGTTTGAATTAATGCTTGACTGTTTTCATAATGATTGGAGTAGCTCTCTTCAAGCTAGTTATTAGTCACAGCTGAAAAATGCATTTTCTGTCTTTCTGCTTTTTAAACAAGTAGCAAATCACAACTCTGAAAAAGGTGAATCAAATTAGAAAATGTGCCTTTTCATTTTTGCAGTGTCGTAGACGAAGCCTCCCACAGAACTATTTATCTATTTATTTAAATATATGTGTTTTTATTTAACTTTCGTTGTTCAATTTCATTTTAGGCCAAAATCATCACAATTAAAAGAACCAAAGACTTAGACTACTTCAGTCTGTGTGCATTGAATTGATTAAATGCACGAGTTTCACAATTTGAGTTGAATTACTGAAATAAATGAACTTTTCCATGACATTCTAATTTATTGAGATGCACCTGTATATATATATATTTCAATTGTTTCATTCATTTACTTTTTTAAAAACAGACTTTTAAATGTATTAAATATGTGTAAGTGCAAAAATAAGTATGAATACTTGTAATAAAGAGATTTAATTGCAATGATTGATGCTCACATAAAAATCTGTTGAACTATTAATGTCATTACTTGGTAAATCATGGTCGTGAAAATGAATGTGCAAAATAAACTTTAAAGTGGGGAAAAATTGAACTGACAGCTTTCATGCAAACAGAGGCAGGTGACAGAGTATTGACAGAGACATGTCACATTTGTTTTATGTTTTTGTTTATTTTGCATTAATTACTTTAATACATGTTTTCATATCAATATTTTCCACCTCATTTTCAGTATGTGATAATAATGCTGCTCTATATCAGCTGGTGGATGAGATGAGGCTGCAGCCTGTTATGCCCATTCGCGGTGCCATCGCCTCTTTGACTTTGTTTTTAGATCTCCATCTGCTCTTATCTCATTTGAAACATCCATGCTGAAAATAGATACAACATAAGTGCATCTGTCCATCGGGTTTATTAGTGTCCTCAGCCAAACCTCTCTGTCTCTCTGAGTCACCCTCTCTACTCTTAATACTCTCTCATCAAGATGGCTTAAGTGGGTGCTTAAACTATTTTATAGATAGCATGGCGAACACAAACCGTTTGTGCCATGTCAGTTCAGTGGGATGTCGCAGCCGATTACGTCAAATGATGGTTGCACGGACCCCCACGCCGTGCCCTTGGTAACAGTGAATGTTAGCTTGAATTGAGTGTGACATGTGCTAACTTCTTGAGTGGGTTTTTACACTCTGTGAGAGCCATCAGCACACGGGTGTTTCCGCTCAGTGACTGTGTTCAGGAAGAAGTTTTCAGTGTACATATACAATAAGCTGGTAAAAAAAAAAATACAGTCCACAAGTAATTAAAACTTAATTTAAACCTGAAAAGAAAATCCAAACAATGAAGTGTTATACAAATACTAAAAAAAAATAATAATAACAACAACTCATTAACAAAAAATGTAATAATAATAACAACAACTCAACAACAAATTAGAAAAATGCAGAAGATAATCATTTTGACAAATTTATGAAAATGGGTCAATGACAAATAAGAATGTCTATGATAAAGAAAAGTAAAAATCTTTTAATCATCTAGTTTTGAATGCATTTATGTAATGTACTCGTGTAACTTTCAATGAATTCGTGTAACTTTCAAAATTATATGAAGAAATGTTTTAAATGACTCCATACACATTGAAAGTGAACACATCTTAATCATTATTCACAATCGTAATTTCTTTTTTACAAATATCATGAATTATTAACTTATAAATATTGAGTTTTGGGGGAGTTGCACCACATGACAATCTGAACCAATTTTGCCTTGTTACAAAAAAGTCAAATTATCTGATATTTAAAAGACATATTGACCTTGTAGTGAAGCAGTTAAAATATTTTTCTAATAAATAATAAAAGATTATGCCAGACTACATCTTTTCAATTTTTTTATTTTCTTAAATTTCTTTTAAAGAGACTTTTTTGTTTCGTAAAGATATCAGGACAGTTGTGTCACCCTTACTTTTTGGACTTTATGCTCCCCAAAAAATATTAAATTAATTGTATGTTAGATAGTATTTTTAATGTATCTTTTTGGGGGAAAAAAAAAATATATATATTAAAAAAAGAGCATCATATCATTGACCAAAAGTGCAATTACACTTTTATTTTGCTCTGCAATTGTCATCATTTGTCATCAGATTACTTGATGTGTATGTTTTGTTTCATCTCACTAGGTGGCGATGCAGGCTGTGTCAGCTCCCCAGATCCAGACTCAGACAGCTGTTGATCTGTCTTTTCTGCTAGAACAGAAGAAAACTCTTCAGGCGGATGCTCCTCGTGTTCTGTATCAGTGCGCTGACTGTGAGGTTCTCTTTGATGCTCTGTCACTCTGGCAGCATCACCGCAAGATGGGCTGTTGTCTTGAGACGGGACCTGGACCTGGAGGAGAGCAGAGTAGGGAAAGTGTTGAAACGGCAGCCCAACCGGTTCCTACCCAGCCAGAATATCAGGACGCTGAGCAAGCACAGAATGCACATGAACAGATGGAGGTGAAAGAAGAGGGAAGGCAGGCTGAAATGAAGATGGAGAACACCAGTCAAGTATTTGTGGCAGTAGGAGAGGTTTCTGAAAGAGTAGCGGCACCTGATGGTGTACAGAGCAACAGTGTCCCCAATGAACCTCCGGAGACTTCGGCCACCCAGGAAACTGCACCTGTGGAGTCCTCAGCTGAAGAAAACAGTTCCGCCACAAGGCGCAGGGGGCAGAAAAAGGCTAAGCCCCCCTCCAGCCTGCTCTGCGTGGAGTGCGGGCAAAGCTTCAGCCTGGTTCCAGAGCTTGTGACTCACCGCAAGACTCAGCACGGCTTGAAGGATGCCATACACCGCTGCACAGTTTGCGGAGAGGGCTTCCTCAACACCACTCTTTTCCTCTATCACCGAAAGCAGCACCGCTCAGAGGGGGAGGATAAACCCAAGCAGGCTCAACCTGCCATTCCTCAGCTCTCCACAGCCATGCTGGAGGCCCCAGGTGAGGGACTCTTGCTTTTAGCCACAGCTGGAGAAGGCCAGAGCCTAATAGAGGTGACCACTCTGGAACAAACCATAACTGAGACCCCTGTAGCACATGTGGAGGTTGAGCTGGAGAATGATGGAATGAGAGGATCTGAGGCTCTCCAGACTGAGCAGGAACCTGCCGTGGAAGGCACAGAGGTTTGTGTGGAGATGGTGGAGGAGAGTAATGGAGCAAACCAGGAAGAAGGAATGGATGTGGTCGTTGATAAGATGGAAGAAGATGTGGAGATGGAAAAAAGCACTGTGGTTGAGGAGATCCAAGGAGAGGTGGAAAGTAGCACAGACAAGGAACCTGTGAAAGCTCCATCTTTGAGCACAGAAGGACAGAATTTCCTTTGCCATCAATGCGGATCTGTTTTCACCAGTGACCAGGAGTTGGCTCAGCACCGCAGAACCGAGCACAGCCTGGAGGCGGCGTTGCACACCTGCGCAGAGTGCGGGGCTGAGTTCATGAGCACCACACAGTTCTTGTACCATCGGCGGGAGCATAAGAACGCAGCTGTGGGACATCCACCCTCTGGTGAAGTGAAAGGCAGGCTGTACCCTACTGCAGCTCCAGCTATTGTTGTGAAACCCAGAGACAACGTGAACCTTGGACAACCAGGTCAGACTGAGTGCACACGACACAGCACAATTCCAAAGAGACCTAACTAAGTAGGATATCCATACATACTCATTTTATTAACTGATAATGTAACTCCATGATTCTGGCTCTGGGCTATACACAAACAGTCTTAAAAGTCAGACTTGAGTAGAAGATGTACATTGTAAAGTAATTTAAGTTGTAGAGAACAATATTTAAAAGGATAGTTGACCCAAAAATTCTGTCATTTACTCACCCTCATGTCGTTCCAAACCTGTATGACTTTCTTTATTCTGTGGAATATAAATGAAGATATTTTAAACAATGTTGGTAACCAAACAGTTTTAGTTACTGTGGACTTTCATTGTATGGTCAAAAAAACATTTCTCAGAATTTCTTATTTTGTCACATTTTATGTTCCACAGAAGAAAAAAAGTTATACATGTTTATAACTATCCCTTAAAGTTAACATTTTTAAAGTTGCTCATTAATTATTTTTAAGTACTGAATGTACCAGATGAATTACTTAAAATCAGAGCTTTTCACATTGGGATCTGGAGTCCACTGGGAGTCTATGGAATATTTCAAGAGTTATATTTCATTTGTTTCATTTTGTTTCAATTTTTGTTTCATTCTGCTTTATAAATACATCAGAGGATCAGATCAGAAAGATCAGAAACCATGATGATAATAATCATAAATATTTTATTCTATTGTGCAGATAGTATTTTTATAGTAGAAAAAAGTAGTTAAGTAAAGTTAATGCTTAAAGTAAAAAATAAATAAATAAAAATCTGCCAATAGAAAAGAAAGAATTCACTTACAGGAATAGAATGTATAGAAGATGATTCTTTGCAGTATATCTTGACATTATTTACTGATTATTGATTTACAAGAACATATAAATTCACGTACACTACCTGTGTGTATATTACTTTTGAACGGTAGTGTACATGAAAGTGGTAGATGCCTTTTATTGATTTGTGAAAACGGTACCTGCTAAATGTAACAAGTTTCTGTTATCTGAACAGATTGTGATATGGTTCATTACTTCATCAGCATTTCACAACGTTCATAATGTTTAAGCCTGAAACGTATCAAATTAATTTGATATTACATGGACAGTCTCCTTCATTTAGATTTCCTGTTAACAAAGTGTTTCTGTCGGCAACAGCAGCAGCAGCTGCAGACGGCGCCATTGAGGCTCCCGCCAAGCTGAGCCGCGACTGGTCACGCACCGCCCTGCCACACGAGTGCCCACATTGTGGACAGGGCTTTACGCGGCGCAGCCGTCTGCGTGAGCATGTGTTCCAGCACACAGGGGAGAAACTCTTTAACTGCAAAATTTGCAAAAAGAGCTTCCCGTCTCCGGCCAACCTGCTACGTCACAACCTGACCCACGGAGGATCACGCATATTCAACTGTCCCCTCTGTGACAAGCGCTTCTTCCAGCCGACGTCACTCAAACGCCACATGCTGATTCACCAGGGGGGTGAAAGCCAGGAACGCAAGGTCAGAGGCAGAGGAAAAGGCAGGGGACAATCAAGCGATGGGCGTCTGCACATCTGCCCAGAGTGCCCAGCCAGCTTCAAGTTCGAGTCCCAGCTGAAGAGTCACAGGTCTGTGTGTGTTGCATCCAAAAATCTAAATTTATCATTTGCTCACCTTTTATCACTTTCAGGAACAACAACAACAACAAAAAAAAAAAGATATTTTGAATAATGTCATCTGTTTTTGTCCATACAAAGAAAGTCAGTGGGGTCCAAAACAACACTTTTATTTTGTGGACAAAAAAAAAAAAAACCTTCAAAATATCTTCTTTTGTGTTCCACAGAGGAAAGAAAGTCATATAGGTTTGGAATGACACAACTGTGTTTCTTTAAATATGTTTATCCTCCTCCTTAGCTCGTTCCCAAAGATGATTGATATTTAATCTGACTGTAAATAGAGATGGAAAGGTATAAGTAGTCGGCAAGAATTTAAATAATGTCACGCTGCGCACAAATCTGATTTGGTTTTCAAATCCGATCTGTAGGAGCGACTGTCCGCACTGTCATTTAGCAAGTGATGAAATCTGATCCGTTTGTTCAGACAGTGTAGTCAGTATCCGGTGCATGAACATGGGTTGTTGTAGTAATGATATGAGCGTCAGCACAATGCCAGACTTTCTCAAACAACAACTAGCAGTAGCTGTCAGTGTGGGAAGAGAGGACGGAAAACTGCCTCTTCTCCTGTCTATCATGACATCTCGCTGCGGTGCTGAACTACGAGGCACGTGAGAGAGCAGATGCATTTTGTGTATATACCAAAAGAGTGCGTGAAAATGAGGTATTCAGCTGTAAACATGGAAAGGATTACGTGTATTTTTTTGTGTGATGGATTTGAGACCGATATACCAAAAAATTCAATTTTTGCTGCCTGTTTCAACAAAGGGCCTGATGCCAGATTCATTTGAGCGGAAACTTGAGATGACACTGGACTAATCATTGCATGTTTCTGTTAGTTAACAAGCCCTGTTGGTGCCCTTCCTTGTTATGGTCCACGTCCCTACAGGGTTTTTTTCTGTTCCCGGAAACGCTTACCCTGTCAAACTGTGCAACATCAGGAAGATGTCTGATTAGTCTCTAAGAGAAGTGATCAATTAAACAAGTGGCTCTGACATTTCTCATTTCCCATGTGATGTATTACGAATACCTTATTTTGGCATCCAGTCAATGTGAATCTTGAAGAAATAAAAACAGGAGAGCTAAACAGTCACCATGGACATTCGGCATCTTGCTGTAATGTGGCTTTGCTTTTGCTGCTGGAAAAAGGGAAAGAAATTAGAGAACAGGGTGGCAGATGATAAATATAATGCATGCATATGTTTGGGGTGAAGATTAAAAAAAAAGCATACTTTTATTCATCAAGGATGCATTAAACTGATCAAAGGTGACAGTTAAATCATAATGTTGCAAAAAGATTTATATTTCAAATAAATGCTGTTCTTTTGATATTTCTATGCACCAAAGAATCCTGAAAATATGCGTTACGACTTCCACAAAAATATTAAGCAGCACAACTGTTTTTGCAACATTTATAATAATAAGAAATGCTACTTGAGCACCAAATCAGCATATTAGAACGATTTCTGAAGGATCATGTGACACTGAAGACTGGAGTAATGGCTGCTGAAAACTCTGCCAACACAGCATTAAATTACATTTTATATATTAAAATAAACAAGAAACATTTATTTTAAATTGTTATAATATTTTACATTACTGTTTTTACTGCATTTATCAAATAAATGCAGCCTTGGTGAGCATAAGAGTCTTCTTTGAGAAACTGACCCCAAACTCTTAAATGGTGTTACATGACCTCACACAATTTGTGGAAAGTAAATAAGACACACACAGAATTGCTTAAATTAGATTTTACACGTTTTATAAATTACATATTTACACATTGACCTAAAACCTGACCTTTGTAGAAAAAAAACTCTCAATCGATAAACATGTATAATTGTACTTACATATTCCCATTGTTTTTACAAATTGAGACATGAGTGATGAGGAATGAGTAGAGAAAAATGAGTGTTTCCAGTACAGAAATAATTCAAAACATGATGGATTTTCAGATTGAAATGCTTGCCATAGCTGAACACTTAGGGAGCAGAAAATGAAAAAAAAAATTCAAAAGGGTGAATGCGTCTTCCTACTCAAGTACCTTAATGATGGTGGTGAGATAGGAGTGCTTCCCTTATGTGATTGCAGTTATTTCCTTGGTGTCATCAGCGTATTGACTCCAATTGAATGTGCTGTTACTTACCCTGAAACAAGCTGAATTCTAAAGAAGTTCAATAACCAGGTTAGCAGAATGCCTTTTTATAATACTTTATGTAATATTATAATGCTAATCTAATTATTTGAAACTCTATTCACAAGGGCCTTCATTACTGGACTTCTCATAATGCTCAGTGACACAGGAGTAAAACGCATTAATGCTGCAATTGTACGGAGTTATTATCTCTGTAACATCGAACTTTCTTGCTTTTCCAGAGCACTGTTACAGCTAATAAGATCAGAATGCAGATAAACTGTTCGGTTGTTTACAACTAATAAGCATATGTCAGTAATTTACTGAATTTGCATTCTTAATTAAAATGCCAATAATTAATAATTAAAAAAATAAATCAGATGATATTTCTTCCTCCAGTCATTTTACTGAGGGTACTGGTTAAAGATGACACATTGACACGGCACTGAAAAGTAAATATAAGCAGTAATTATTGATGTCAGGAATAATTAGTAAGGACCCTGCTGATTTTAATCCCATGCGGTGGGCTTTAAAACATAGAGGCTGCCACTCTGCCGCACGCCTCAGTTTAATGACGTTTCTTCAGCTCAAAGTTGAAGCTGCATTATTTTTTGGTGATATTAATTGTACCTCTATGCGAGTACATGATGACTGTGTGCCTTATGATATGTGGGTGAATTCAAACGTGGCTTTTCTGACAGCAATTGTTGCTGGATTGGCTCCAGGAATTGCATGATGCAGCCTTTCCTATTCACGTTCTCTCTGTTTTTCGCTGTTCTCTCATCCACCAAGGTCAGCCTGCAGGAAACAATTACACACTCAGCCTTTTGTCCTTACGAGCTCTCATTCACATGCTATTTCTTACATTCATGCATTAGGATTAGGGCTGGCAATTGATTAAAATGTAATCAAGTTCATTTAACAATATGCCGATTAATTAAATTAAGAGCATATTCATATTTTAGCCCCCTAATAAAGATGTTTCAGAGACATTGTCATTGTGCTAGACAAAAGCATTGAATAGACAATGCGAAAATGAGCTTTTGCAGTCTGTATATTGTCTGTATAATATATATATATATATATATATATATATATATACACACACACACACACACACACACAAACACACATACATATGTATGATAATTATTATGTATATATTATACATGTATAATATAATGTATAATAATTGTTCAACCTTTCTCTCCATTTTTATATGTATTAGGATATGTAATTTGTTTATGAAATAGTACATGCAATATTTTACTATATTTAAGAATTTTTATAGTAATTGTCATACAAATATCAATACTTTTAAATACCAAATAATGTGATCAGTTTAATTGTTTAATTAAAAAAAAATATATATATGTGTGCGTGTGTGTAAATGTGTTTAAATTTGTGTGCGTGCATGTGTGTTTATCAAATTAAATGGTTTACAAAATTTAAATTTGCATCATATTTGATAACACAATTGACACATTTACACACACACAAACACGTAATTTGTTTTTAATGAAACTATTCAATTGATTACCTTTTATTTTATATATAATTATTATTAAAATAAAAACAATATGACAAATGTACAAAATGTAATTATTTCATGTATGGACAATATATAGACATGTTAATCTACTTTTTGTAATAACTGTTCAATATATATTATATAATAACTGCAGTAAATCAGCATGGGTATCCCTAATACACTTACAAACTCACTTACTTTAAGTGGCCCTATCAGTTTCTCCTTTCGACTTACAGCTCTGTTTGGGTTAATGTTTGTGTTTCTGACCACACACACACACAGATCTGTCAAATGAATGAGCTTTCATCGATTGCTTCCAAGTAAATAGATGGGGTCAAAGGTCACATTGATCAGGATGGGTTGTGTGTGTATTGATAAGATCAGCTGCTGATCATTATCACCTCTAATCAGAGGCTCTTACACAGATCTGTCCGCTGCCGCAGCTGTTCCTCTCTTTAGCTGAACAGAGGCATAGAATGAAGCAGGATAGATTTTTATACAGGTGAAAATAAGGGAGTGCAGAGTTGCTTAGTAGAAGCTTGTAAAAGTTAGTGAGGCTGAGTCACAGCCTGACAGTTTGAATGCTCTGCATCTAAACATCACATCACACCCGTGACCCCCGTAAAGTGCTGTTATTTCTGCGTATGCGCTGTGCATTCTGTGAAATGTCTGTTTATCAGCCGCCTCCCTCTGATTGGTCCTGTGTAAATAAGAGGGAGCTTTTTGTATTCTCATGTTTGTGCTGCTCTCTCCGTCTCTGGCCCTCTTTTTAGATAAGGAACAAACAATACGTGTTTGTTTTTCTCACTTGATAAGAAGCAGAAGATTATTTTTGCTTGTGTGTGTGAGGGAACGTGTACATAAACATAAGTATCTCTCATGTCCGGTACATCAGAAGCCGGAGACTAGAGAATATGTGTGCCTTTCAATTTCTCTTATTGTAGATAAGCACTTTAGGGTGCATTATATATGAGTGGGATAAGTTGGCCACTTTTAACATAAGATGTCCTCTCTAGTCAAGGTGAAATGAAACGAACAGTAACTAACAGAAAGTGGTGATAGAAATATGATTTCTCAGGCAAAAAATGGTTCATTAGTAGAACTTGCCCAGCCCAGGATTAAGTTGATTTGTTAGGGTATATGTGAATGATTCATATTTTAATAGTATTTGTTAGTTGGGCCACTGGCTCATTTTACCCTGAAGCATCTCACACTTACCCCATAGCTAACAATCTGGAAAAAATGTTTGCTTTAATAATCTTAATTTGTTTTAATGGTTTAATGCATCGGTAATTCATAAAAATGCATGATTTATGTTTTTAGAAATGGACAAATTTGCTTTGATAGAAAATATATTTTACCTGTATGTAGAAAATTTACTTTATAATTTATATATATAAAAAAAGCTTTCAGCCTAAAAAGCTTATTATTTTTCATCTCTCAGCCTAGTGCTGTTTGATGGGCCCTATTTAAATATGGACATGTGAACACAGTAGCACAGTAGTAGTTTCCATCCACATATTTTAACATGCATTATAGGACATCATAAAAAGCTGGATGGAAATGGCAAGAAGTGCATAAAATTTGAAAATGTGCAGGAACATATATATATAATCTGATTAGAAGACATGCACATAAAATGTGATAGAAAACCTTTACTGAATAAATTCCTGAATAAAAAGTCGTGTGACTTTGTCTCAACAGAACATGTGATTGGACAGTTGGACTAACAAGCAGACCAATCTCACTGCTTACCATCTCAAATGTTGTTTTAGTCTTTCTGAAATGCCTGAGCCAAAGTCTGTCATTACAATGATTTGGCATAATTACCTCCCAGAACTGTCTAAGCACACATAATTTATTATGTAGGAGAAAAGAGCTACAGTGGCTTCCCAGATTACAGCAATCCATTTTTATTATTGATCATTTGCGCCAGTTTCCCAGGAAGCAACAGTTTAGTTCTCTTAAACACAAAATGGAAACTTCTTTCGCAAATGTTTTATGCAATATTCCAAATTTTCATATAATTTCAATTCGCCACTTTGGGTGGAAACATATCTAGTGACACAACTTACCCACTCTCAAACCTCTTCAATCCCTCTGTCTTTGTTTGTAGATAAAGAACCAAAGACGTGTCCTAACTGCGGCTCTCAGTTCCTGAATCAGACAGTGCTGGACACACACCTTCAGCGCTGCACAGGGGAGGAGATGGGCCGCCGCAAATATAAAGGTCAGGGAAGAGGCAAGGTGGGAGGTCAGCTGGAGTGTGACATGTGCGGCCACCGCTGCGTGACTCAGGATGCTCTTGACCTGCATCGCCTCTCCCACACGGGTCAGACACCCCTGCGGTGCCCGCTCACCCCCTGCAGACGCCGCTTCGCCTCCAGTGCTGCTCTAGGGGAGCATCTTGTGGCCCACTGCTGTGGAGCATTAGGCAAACGAAACGCCCTACGCCGATTCACCTGTGAGTTCTGCGGGAAGGAGTTTGCCTACGCATCCACCTTCACCGTTCACATGAGGACACACACCAACGAGAGACCCTTTGAGGTAGGTTTCCTGAACCTGAATGGCTCATATATGTGCTGGTTCCAGTGTTAAGTTGTATTACAATTTTTTTGTAAAAAAAAAAATAATAATAATAATATAAAATATAACATTATCTTTATATATACTACCATTCAAGCATGTGTATATTTATTCAGAAAGAAATGTATAATGTTACAAAATATTTCTATTCTAAATGTTTCTACAAAAATATCAACAGCACAACTATTTATAACATTGATAGTAATTTGGAAAAAAATTACTTAAAAAAAAATATATAAAAAATAGAATATAGTTATTTTAAATTGTAGTAACATCTCACAATATTGCTGTTTTTACTGTATTTGTGATCAAATAATACAGCTTTGGAGAGCATAAGAGTAATGTATAATCATTAAGAATTTTAAACGATCAGTAAAAATTATTTATCAACATAAAATTTGAAAATCTAAGTGACAAAAATAGTACATGAAATCTATTTTATACTTATTTATTAGCCACTTTTTAGACAAGGAGACTTGGTGGTGGGGTTTGCTCTGGAGAGAAGAGGAATGAAGGTTAGTCGCAGCAAGACCGAATAAATGTGTGTGAATGAGAGGGATCCAAGTGGAACAGTGAGGTTACAGGGAGAAGAGATAAAGAAGGTGCAGGATTTTAAGTACTTAGGGTCAACAGTCCAGAGCAATGGGGAGTGTGGAAAAGAGGTGAAGAAGCGTGTGCAGGCAGGTTGGAATGGGTGGAGAAAAGTGTCAGGTTTGTTGTGTGATAAAAGAGTACCAGCAAGAATGAAAGGAAAGGTGTACAGGACAGTAGTGAGACCAGCGATGTTGTATGGTTTGGAGACAGTTGCACTGAGGAAAAGACAGGAGGAAGAGTTAGAGGTAGCAGAGCTGAAGATGTTGAGGTTCTCTTTGGGAGGGACGAGGATGGATAGGATCAGGAATGAGTACATCAGAGGGACAGCACATGTGAGATGTTTTGGAGACAAAGTTAGAGAGGCCAGGTTGAGATGGTTTGGACATGTTCAGAGGAGGGAGAGTGAATATATCGGGAAAAGGATGCTGAGGTTAGAGCTGCCAGGCAGGAGGCCGAGAGGAAGACCAAAGAGGAGGTTTATGGATGTAGTGAAGGAAGACATGAAGGTAGTCGGTCTGAGAGAAGAGGATGCAGAAGGGGATAGGGCTAGATGGAGGCAGATGATTCGCTGTGGCGACCCCTGAAGGGAACAGCCGAAAGGAAAAGAAGATTAGCCACTTTTTAAAAGTTTCTATGTTGTAAATTTTTCATGCTTTAGAGACTTTAGTTATGTCCATGTTGCAAACTGTTACTATAACATTGTTGCATTCATTTTTTTTCAGTGGCATTTTTAGATAAAATCATTTAATATTTGCATATTTTTCGTCTCGTCTCTATTATCATTGCCAAAATCAGAAATTCTTTCATTAACAAATATTTTCATCATTAATGATGAGAATAACACTGCCTCATTCTTTTTCACACATTCACTTCTTCTCTCTTTTTCAGTGCACTTATTGTGGGAAGCGTTTCCGGCAGCTTCCGCACCTGCAGGATCACGAGCGCATTCATAGCGGCGAGCGGCCGTTCACATGCTGGGTGTGCGGTAAAAGCTTCAGCGTAGCAGCAAGGCTAACGGAGCACGCCCGTGTGCATAGCGGCGAACGGCCGTACATCTGCCCTCGGTGTCCCACCGCCTTCCGCTCACGACCCAACCTCGACAAACACATGCGTCTGCACGCCAACGACCCCGTGGATCCTTCCGCACAGAACACGGATGATGATGCAGCAGTGCAGACCATCCTCTTAGTACAAGAGTCTGCTTCATCTTCACCATCCTCCTCCTCATCCGCCGTGCCTGTGGTCCAGGAGGGCATGCTGGTGGCAGAGGAAGGCAGCTCCTCTGTGGTCTTCCTGCACCCCAGCCTTACCATGCCCACCATCACTGTGCCAACTATCTCCGTTCCCTCTATAAATGTTCCCAACATCTCTGTAGTGGCAGGTCAGGATGTGCCTCACACTATTGAGGTTATCTTAGAGGAGACTGTGTAAAAACATAATCAGAAGAATGCAAAGGGAACATGGGGTGGGGGTTGAACATTATAATTATTATTATTTTTATTTTTTTTTGAAAGAGAAAGGCAGATTCGGCAATAGGTAAAACAATAGGTCAGGACTTAACAAACGTTTATGTGTGAATTTCTTGGAGATGCCTTGTTGATTAGGATATATTTTGCTTTTGTAATATAGAAGTACAACAACTCAGCATCTTTACCGTGGAAAAAATTTAATCACAAAGGTTTTTGCATATGAATGGCTACGCTGTGATTTTATCTTATGATTTAAATGTTTTATCTGCCTTTAATACAAAAAGTGGACCATAATTTGTGGTGTTTAATTTTAATAAAAAGCTTGAGCTTGTTGGGGTCTGTTACTGTTTCATTTAATGAGATCTTGACTTTAGCTAACTAGAATGAAGTCGCTGATGAAGTAGAAATGTTCTTGTCAACTCACCGATGACTGCGCATGAAGCTTTGGCTAGTCAGGGAAAAATAGTTTTTGCTGATAATTTTTAAATGATTTAAAGGTGCCATGTCAGAATTTTGTAATCATTTAATGTTTTTTTTCTACACCAGGATTGTTACTCTAGTATTCTTGCGCTCAAAACACTCTGAATGGCCATTCCTTTTTAAAAAGAACTGTGCTAAATTGTACTGAATGTGCTCTTGTAGTGTACTTCCGATCTTAGAAGAAGAATATTTATACTTCTGTACTTGAAGATATATAAGGCCACTTAAGTGTACTCGAAGAGAGAACATTTTCACGACTGCTTCTGAACACACTTAAGTACACTTTTAAAAGGTGCACTTTGTAATGTCAAATTAAAAATATTACTTTAAAGTACATTTGATATAATTACTTAAATAATCTTTTGTCATTGACCAACGTACTAAAGCTGTTAAAGCACTTAATTATTTTTTTATTTAGTTTAAATTTAATATATTTTAAATGTACTAATTGCAACTTCATAATTACAAATATATTAAAATACATGACATACAAGTTTCAACAGAAATTACGTTAAAGCATGTTTTACTTTGCCAAAATGTTTGTTTGAATACATTCAGCAGTACACTTTAACCATATTTTGAAGACAATAGAAGTACTTAGAAATAAAGGAATTGCTTACAGTACTTAAGTTCTACTTGAGTGGGTCGGCTAATTGCATTTAATATAAATGTCAACTTTTTTGCTTTTTGCTTCAATTGTAAATAACATGCAATTAAATGTCTGAGAATATTACATTTGCACTTTATATTCATTTATATTATTTTCACAATATGTACTCTTTTTAAGTGGACTAAAGTGGACTTCTTTTTACAAGGATTTTAAGGTGCTGTAAGCTTTCACCTGTCAATCTTTGCGCATTCACAGATGTCAGTCCATATATGAGAAGCCGGAAGCATAGCGCGTGATGGTTTTGTGATTTTGGATTCTGCTGAATGTTCTCGAATTCTTACGACTTACAAATTATAATGTCGAATCTGCCATTTTGTCCGACAAACAAACAAGACAGGAGGGTAGAGTAACGTCGGTGGACTGAAACTTGAAAAGTGGTGTGTATTGACGTCTTTCCGAGGTTGATACAAGATACCTTCTGGTGTTCATTCATGTTTATTTTGTGCTCTAGTAAAGAGAAAGATGATCGGTTCAAGTGCCTCTTGAACTGAGGCGCTCTAGCGATCTGTCACGCCACATTAAAGAGCCACAAAACTGTATTTATTGTTTGCATTTCTTACAAAATGTAAAAGCTGAGACTTTGTTTCATACCAAAAGTAGCTTGTCCTCTTTGCACCTCTATGTATTTTTCACTGAGAACATGATGTGTAGTGTGAGCGGCATGGCTTGTCGGACATAGCAACAGTAACTAAGGGGGACAGGTCTAGGCACCCTAGGCGTGCACTGCACAGCACAAAGCAAAAACCACCTTAAAAAAGAAATACTGTGATGCTCATTTTAAGTGACTTATTGCTATCATCAAACAGCAACAATAGACAGCAGTGTTCAAAAAAAGCTAAATGTATAATAATAATAATAATAATGATGAGCATAAGCAATCATCCAGGTAATATAGTTAATTATCCTAACCATAGGCCATTTATGGTTGCCAAGCAACATACAGATATGGCGCAGGGATATATAATGTGTGGTCCCAGGTGTGCTGCTCCTGGAAAAAAATGTCCAGTTATCTGCAGAAAGGAGGCATGATTTGTCCAGCCTATTTGCCTCAGAATAGTGTGCTGAGAATCCGGCCTCTCTTTGTGCAAGCAAGCACAAATGAAATAACGTGAAACAAATGTTTTAAATTTCTAATTTTCTCTAATTTTTTTCCAAGACATTTACCAGTCCCCCAGAGTACAAACATAATAAATGATCCTGCAGTTTTAGATGTAAGTGATGACTGCAGTGAAACCAGCACGTTGGGCTCTTTAACTGCAAATCTCATCATGAATTTTCACTAGTTGAATGAGGTTTGAGTTGAGCTCCATTACCTTAGCTCATTGAGAGATTGAGGCTAAGTGGAGCCATTACTGGAGCTCATAGCGTTTGCCTGCAGTCGGTTCTTTGCTCCCTCAATTTACTCAGGGCCCGCTGAACTCCTCCCCCATACAGCTGCTGCATCATTATGATTAGTCCCATAAATGATAGACAGTGATATCGAAACAGCATTTCCTTTCCCTGCACTGAATTCCCAAATAACTATTTGATAGATATCTTCCCCAGCTCATTAATTTACAGACTTTGTCTAGCAATTACTGCGTGACCTTCATGTAAATGGGCAATTTGGCAATTTAAGATGCACCAGCGGTCTTTTTTTGCCTCTGAACTGCTTTGGGGGACAAATAAATAAGATAATCAATTTATACAAAATGCGTTTGATTGAATCTACTTTCTGTTAACAACATAGTTGATACCACAGTTGTTTCTGAACCATGCAGAATGTGACATAAAAGATGCTATCAAACCAAAAGGAATATTTCCGGTTCAGTTAAGATCAATCAACAGCATTTTGGCATAATGTTGATTACCACAAAAATGAATTTTGATTGGCTCTTCCTTTTTGTGAAAAATAAAATTAAAGTGGAAGTGAATGGGTCCAATACTTTTTTACAATAATATAGCCTCAATACCATGGATTAGAAATTAACACCCGCCAACCTGCCAAATACAGATGAAAATCCACTGTGGTCGGGGACATTTATCAACTCAATAGTTTGGCAGGTTATGATTCATAAATCATGTCCTCCAACCAGGAGCTTCCAGCATTAGAAAAACAAAGCGTAAAGAGCATAAAGAACAAAGCATAAAGCTTAAAATTGTTGTTAAAATTAATAAAATATTTTTTAAAAATACAATGAAATATTTGTATGGTATCTGTAAACAATGATGACAATATAAAACTGAAAGTTTTAATTTGAACAACTTTTAAGTTTTACAACTTTGTTGCCATGATAACACCCTAAACGTAAAACCCTAAAATGACCATAAAAATAACATTAACAACTTCACAGCTCAAACAGTACACATTTCAACAGAAGAATTTATGTAAGTGCTTAAATTCACTTACATTGGAAGTGTCTCACTGTAACCTTGAGTATTGTTCTTTCTTTTAACAAAAATGATTAAATAATGAATTACCATTATGGCACAAATTCTGTTCATTGAGCTAAACCAGTATTAGACCTGGGATATTCTTTTGATGTTTGCTACCTAAATCTGATTTCTGAGAAAATCTAAGAGGTTTTATCCAAGAAAATTATATAAATCATGCAGTGAAGATGAACTGATCAAATATTATCAACAACAAACAAAAAAACTTGACAACTACAAGCTGTAATTTTCTTAGTCAATAAGCCTTGAAGACCAAAACCACTTTGTTCACCTATATGCTTTCTTTTTTTTTATCTAGTAAATTCTATAAATATCTACCCATGAGTACAAGCCGTGAGGCTGCATATTCATTGCTGAGCTGAAACCTGCTGACCTTACAATACACCAGTGAGTAAAGACTACGGGTGTCTGGTATAGATGGACCGCAACTGTCTGACCCTGATTCTTCTACAGCTGTTTTACGTGTTCAGTGAGCGACTTTAGTGCGATGATATCTGTTTTGTGTTTAAATGATAAAGATATTTGGAAGATGATGCATGCTTTTGTGGTGTGTGTGTGTGTGTGTGAATATAAGTCCTCTCTTTCGTTCTGCGTCTCTCTTTGCTGAGGTAGCTGTACCTACTGTGACTTTGACAGAGTGTTCCCCCTTGTCTGTTGCCCCTCTGTGTATGTGTGTGTGCTATATCTGTACTGCAGTACGTGCATGTGTGATGCTGCCTGAGCTATAGTCATTAACAAAAGAGACCCATGAGCTTGTTTGTATATGGAAAAGAAGCTCTGGCCCTCATGGATTGTTCTGACCCTTCGTCTTTGTGCGTTTGAGAGCGAGAGAGAGGCTAAACGTGATGAATGAGGTGCGGATATGCTGATAGAGCTGTCATATACCGGCTTCGGCGGTGCTTGGAAATGCCATATTATGCTCACTTGTGTTTTTGAAATGGCTATATGTGTGCACAGACTCCTGTTGAAAAGATTGTCATGCTTATCTGGTCTAGTCGGGTCTATTTCTCTCCCGTTCTCTTTCACACGCTCTCCGTCTGCTGGTCCTTCTTGTTACACCGCTATACCATCTCGCTCCCTCTCTCTTTCTCTCTCCCTCTCTTGCTCCCCCTCTTTCCCCCCCATTTATTGTAGAGGCTGTGTGACTGGAATACTGAGTAGCTAATCATTATTCCACCAGTGAGGCACAGTGCACAGGCTGAATGTCAATTCTCCTTCCTTTTCCCATTCCCTCCTTCTCCCTATCCCACCTCTATTCCCTCATCCATCTTCCCATTCACTCCATCATTCCTCTTCCTTTTCCTTTTCTGCCTGTGTCCCTCCTTCCCCTCCCATTCAGTCCCTCCCCTCTCTCTCTCTCTCTCAGCCTTGTACCCTTGGGTTTCTGCTTGTCTCTGTAAGAATAACAAGGAAATCGTATGGAAATGAGGGTTGTATTCAAGGATTTACCA